TTTCACAATCGATGGAATATATCTCAGTCTAAACAGGAGGAGAAATACATTTAAATCTCAAAAAACCGTGATTTTTGCCGACTTGGCAAATATTGATGCAAAAACAGGAATTTTTTGCAAGTGTAACTCATCGCTTAAAAATTCATAACTTCTAACCTAGAAGTCACAGGAACCTGAAACTTTCACAATCGATGGAATATACCGCAGTCTAAAGAGGAGGAAAAATACATTCAAATCTCAAAAAATTGTGATTTTTGTCGACTTGGTACCTACTGGTTCAAAAACACGAATTTTTCGCAAGTATAGCTCATTGCTTAAAAATTCATAACTTCTAATCTAGAAGTTACAGGAAGCTGAAACTTTCACAATCGATGGAATATATCTCAGTCTAAACAGGGGGAAAAATATACGAAAATCTCAATAAATCCTGATTTTTGTTGATTTGGCAAATGTGGGTCTTAACCCAAGTGCACTATACTACTACAAATTGAATTTTTTTCAAAATCTGAAACTTTCTGTTAGTGAGAAACGGCACCAAAATACATGTCTGGGCTTAAAAAAGTGGACCTGGTAGATATTTTATCTTTTTCGTGCGTATAGAAGAAGCCTCGATTGATGAGTTGACTTTTCAGAAAATCCGCAATTTCACTGAGTGCCGAATACGGTCCAAAAATGCACGTCCCTACATAAGAAACTTCAGTTTCTAAACTCGATGCGCTGGAATTTTCCCCATTCGAACTGATATGGAAGAAGCTATGATTGAAATGCGTGCCAAATTTAAAATTATTCTGTTTCTCATTTAACTTTTTAGCAAGTATGCAACTTTAAGTTAGTGAGAAGTATGGGCAACACAAACGAACATGGCATTGTTTAAAAAGTGATAACTCCTTAACGGGAACTCCTTCAATTTTCAACTTTCGGAAGTTTATAGTAGAAGGTTTGCCTGATAAGTTTCCTAAATTTCTCTTGATTACATTCACTTGTTGATTTTTGAGAAAATGTCCAAGTTTCAGTTAGTGAACAGTTTTGGGTCACAAAAGTGCATGCCCATACTTGAACAATTAGGGCTCCTAAACTGGAGACGCTTCAATTGTGCGCTTTCGCAACTTTATAGAAGAATCATTGGTTGAAAAAGGTGCTCTTAAGGGCACTCCACTGTCTAAATGTACGCCCCAGCCCTATACAAAGTTCCAGGGACGATTAAAGCTTAAAAATAATTCCGATATTAATCGCTTCCGTTCTCCAGACAAGCGCAAAAAAGCCAACAGTTTCTCTTTTGGTTGTTTCAGTTGACATATTCGTGACAAAAACAAAAAAATAGGAATTTTTCGCAAGTGTAACTCATTGCTGAAAAATTCATAACTTCTAATCTAGAAGCTATAGGAAGCTGAAACTTTCACAATCGATGGAATATATCTCAGTCTAAACAGGGGGAAAAATATACAAAAATCTCATTAAATCCTGATTTTTGTTGATTTGACAAATGTGGGTTTTAACCCAAGTGCACTATATTTCGCCCAATAATTGGTTCTACCACACCAACACACTTCAATCTAGGCAACTTATAACTTTCACTCAAATCGGGTGAAATACTGACTTTAATCGGCTTGATATACTTTGAATTTAAAACTGGTGTTTTTATATCGTGCTTAAAATTTAATAACTTCTAATCTGGAGTAGGAAGGAACTTCGAACTCTCAAAAGTGAGGGAGCGTGTTTACGCCTAAACAGAGCGAAAGATTCATTTAAACTCCAATAAATCCGGATTTTTGTCGACTGGGTAAATGTTGGTCTATAAATCGCCGTTTTTGTCCAAGTGTAACTCATTGCTTAAAAATTTATAACTTCTAACCTACAAGTCTCAGACACCTGAAACTTCCACAATCGATGGAATATATCTCAGTCTAAACAGGATTAAAAATACATTCAAATCTCAAAAGACTGTAATTTTTGCCGACTTGGCAAATATTGGTGCAAAAACTGGATTTTTCGCAAGTTTAACTCACCGCTTAAAAATTCATAACTTGTAATCTAGAAGTCTCAAGAACCTGAAACTTTCACAATCGATGGAATATATCTCAGTCTAAACAGGAGGAAAAATACATTTTAATATAAAAAAATCTTGATTTTTGTCGACTTGGCGAATATTACTTCAAAAACATGAATTTTGCGCAAGTATAACTCATTGCTTAAAAATTTATAACTTCTCATCTACAAGTCTCAGGAACCTGACACTTTCATAATCGATGGAATATTTCTCAGTCTAAACAGGGGGAAAAAAACATTCAAATCGCAAAAAATCGTGATTTTTCGCAAATATTGGTGCAAAAACAAAAATTTTTCGCAAGTACAACTCATCGCTTAAAAATTCGTAACTTCTAACCTAGAAGTTACAGGAACCTGAAACTTTCACAATCGATGGAATATATCTCAGTCTAAACAGGAGGAGAAATACATTTAAATCTCAAAAAACCGTGATTTTTGCCGACTTGGCAAATATTGGTGCAAAAACAGGAATTTTTCGCAAGTGTAACTCATCGCTTAAAAATTCATAACTTCTAACCTAGAAGTTACATGAAGCGGAAACTTTCAGAATCGATGGAATATATCTCAGTCTAAACAGGGGAAAAAATATACGAAAATCTCRWTAAATCCTGATTTTTGTTGATTTGGCAAATGTGGGTCTTAACCCAAGTGCACTATACTACTACAAATTGAATTTTTTTCAAAATCTGAAATTTTCTGTTAGTGAGAAACGGTATTACTAAAATACATGTCTGGGCTTAAAAAAGTGGTCCTTCCAAACAGGACCTGGTAGATATTTTATCTTTTTCGTGCGTATAGAAGAAGCCTCGATTGATGAGTCTGCAAAATTGCACTTGATTTCCTTGACTCGTTGACTTTTCAGAAAATCTGCAATTTCACTGAATGCCGAATACGGTCCAAAAATGCACGTCCCTACATAAGAAACTTCAGTTTCTAAACTCGATGTGCTGGAATTTTCCACATTCGAACTGATATGGAAGAAGCTATGATTGAAATGCGTGCCAAATTTAAAATTGTCCTGTTTCTCATTTAACTTTTCAGCAAGGTTGCAACTTTAAGTTAGTGAGAAATATGGGCAACACGAACGAACAACACATTGTTTAAAAAGTGATAACTCCTTAACGGGAACACCTTCAATTTTCAACTTTCGGATGTTTATAGTAGAAGGCTTGCCTGATAAGTTCCCTAAATTTCTCTTGATTACATTCACTAGTTGATTTTTGAGAAAATGTCCAAGTTTCAGTTAGTGAACAGTTTTGGGTCACAAAAGTGCATGCCCATACTTGAACAATTAGGGCTCCTAAACGGGAGGCGCTTCAATTGTGCGCTTTCGAAACTTTATAGAATAATTTTTGGTTGAAAAAGGTGCTCTTAAGGGCACTCCACTGTCTAAATGTACGCCCCAGCCCTATTCAAAGTTCCAGGGAAGATTAAAGCTTAAAAATAATTCCGATACTAATCGCTTCCGTTGTCCAGACAAGCGCAAAAAGCTAACAGTTTCTCTTTTGGTTGTTTCAGTTGACATATTCGTGACGGTATGCGCGTGGCTGGTGGCGACGAGTACGCTGAGCTGGCGGAGCTCGGCGGCGGTTTTGCAGCGGGGGCGGCGCCCCGAGGGCGCAGAATCCGCCCCGGAGCCCCGGCCGAAGCGGAGGATGCGCTCGGCTCGCAAGGCAGCCCCCGAAGGCCCCGTTCCGGCCTGTACTACTCGCCACCGGGTACCAGCTACACCATAGTGGAGAGGCCCAGCTCGGCTCTGCACCATCACAGAGAGTACAGGGAGAGAGAGCGGGAGCACCACTACAGCTCTCTGAGCAGCCCCAGAGGTATTCCGGAGGAAGGAAACATCATTTTTCGGGCTCTTAAAGTTGAAACTGATTTTCTCCAGGTACCTACTTGGGCTCCAACCCGAACTTCGCCAACAGCCGCACCCCATCGAATAACAAGAAGCGGCCGATTTCGCCCGAGCAAGTGCTGAGGTTGTTTGGAACCGGGAATCATGCAGCTGGTGCTCAGAAATCCAGCACAGAACGATCCAGACGGTCTCCAGTTAGCAGCCCTCCATCGGCCACTCATAACTATCGGCCTCCGCTCTATTCGCCCTCCATTCATGAGCTGGCCACTCGGACGGTCAATATGGTGCGAGATCCTCAAGATCCTGGCTTTGGCATATGCGTTAAGGGAGGAAAAGAAGCTGGTAAGGTTTCAGCGTAAGCTGCAGCTTTTGGCTTTTCATTTGCAAGCTCATACAAATGTTGATTACGGGCGATTTCACTCACTGGAAAATTTTATTATTCCCAACTAAGAGCCGGCAGCAACTTCAAGCCATTTCAGTGTATAGAACAGACTTGAATCTAAATAATAATAATAATGTTAAATTCTGACTTTTGTCCACTAGGTAAATGTTGGTGCAAAAACCGGCATTTTTGCGCAAGTCCAACGCATTGTTGAAAAAATCATAACTTCTAATCTAGAACCGAAAGGAAGCTGAAGCTCTCACAATCGATCGAATATATCGTAGTCTAAACAGGGGAAGAATACATTTAAATCTAAAAAAATTGGTGCAAAAACAGGAATTTGAAGTGGAAGTCTCAGGAACCTGAAACTTCCACAATCGATGGAATATATCTCAGTCTAAACAGGAGGAAAAATTCATTCAAATCTAAAAAAATCGTGATTTT